AGATGATTCTGGTCAGCAGGATGTACAGCGATATCAGCACAGTGGCAGCCTGGCCTTTGCTGAGGTTCTGTTAGCACTGTAGAACACAAGGGTTTGAGAAACGGGCTTCAAAAGGAAGTAATGAAACTCGAAGCTTTGACTGACCACTCCCAAACACAGGATCAAGGACTCTGGCTGCAACTGGAAGGCAGGCAGGGTACACAAAGTGTAATCCAAGCAAGAACAACTCCAAAACTAAACAATAATAAAGATTATAAAATTCTTGGGATATCAGCTCAGCATCTAAAACACAAGGTTAGAGAATCATACAATTCTGGAGGCTGGAAGGACCTCTGGAGGACATCTGTTTCAACTCCCTGTGACTGGGGGAGGGGTTAATCTCCCAAACTCAAAGGAGGCACAGGTTAAATTGCTCAGGGCTTTTGTGATACTAAATCCATGTTTCACTGGAGGGACACATCAAGCTGTGGGAAGCATACAGCCAGTACATGCTGGAAAGAATCAAGGAATAAAAAACCCAGTTTGAGTATTAAGTCTGGCTTGTTCTGGAACTTCTGAAACATATTTTCAAGCTGACTTACAGAACCCAGAGCATCAATGAGTTCTGGGACAATATAAAATACACTTAAGATCATGATTAACAGTAATAAGTTTCCATATCATCCAGCTAGGAACCATTTCCAAAAGTGACTGATATGTTTTGTCCTGGTAGTCATAAGGCTTGAAATCCTAATGTATTTATGCATTTTTGCAGATACTCCATCTGATCCACACAGAATAACCATTCTGAGCTCCTTTGCTGTCTCTCTGAACTTTCACTTGTTTAGTTACTTGATAAAAAAACATTTGTTTAATGTTCATGTCTGCAAAAGACACAAAGTGCAGGGAAGCAGCGAATGGCATCTTTTACCCCTGACATATTTAGCAAGAACACTAATTCAGGAATTACCACAGTAGGATGCAGATGGTCAGTTATACAGGTTGAAAAGACTTTGCTGAGCTTATGTTCCCATTTGACTTTCATTTCTTCAATACCATGGCTTCATGCAATTTGTTCCGTGGTTTTAAATACACGCCTTCAAGTGGTTCTGTTCTGTAGCAACTGGATGCCATCATACCCTCAGACTTTCAGATTTGTTTGGTTGGCTTTTTTTACACATACTCATTAAACAGAAGCTATAAAGCAAGATAGGGTGAGTGACTCATTTCACCGAGACAGCACATGCATGTCCTCTTCCTTATCACCACGTGATGGAATGAAAAAATCAGGTTAACAAAGACAAAACCACAGAAGCAGAATACCTACCTCACACAGATTCTCTCTGGTAGACATGAAAAATATCTAAAAATCCCCTCCAGAATCCAAAGTTATTAACTTCGACTAGTGTCATCAAAAATTAAACTAAATGTAAGCTGAGAAAGACTGAGTACCCAAGGGATAAAACAACAGCCCACACTGGGCACACTGTTGCCTATGTGTAACAATTAATGAAAACCTTCAGAAACCCTAAGTCAGGAACTCTTCTGCTGCATGTACCATGACCAGCAGCCTCCTTTATTGTTAAACTGGTTGATGAGATCTATTAAGAGATCAGCTTTTCAGTTATTTATAATTTTGTCAACATATCTGAGCTAAAATTTCCTCTGCTGGAAATAGAATATTTCTAAAATGTTCTAGGTAAAAACAGTTCCACTATTTTTGGGAACAAAACAATAATAAAAGGTGATGTTTCCTGGTGCTCTTTTTGAGAAGTTCTGTGCTATGTTTTGAGGATACTTCAACTTTGACAGAGGAGCAGCCTCTTCCAAAGCAGTGGTGTCTGCCACATGATGTTTCTTTCATACTTGGCAATCTTGCCAATAGAAGATGGAACCAGACTCTGCTCACAGGGGCCCTGAGAAAGCACAAGAGGCAACAGCTGTGACTTGCAATTCCTGCTGAGCATTAGGAAAAGCCTCTCCCCAGGGTGTGCTTCAGCACTGGCATGGGTGCCCTGAGAGGTTGAGGAATCTCCATGGAGGTGCTCAGAAGACACCTGGACAAGGACCTGAGCAACCTGCACTACCGCAGGGTCCCTAGTGCATCCTCTCTGCTCCTGGGACTTTGGCTGTGTGAGCTTGGGGTCCAGTCAAAGACAGTGCAGTCACCTTCCCTCTGGTGACTTTGGGAAGAGTTTCCAGAAAGCTTTGCTGGAGCCTCATCCAGGACTGATGCCCTGACCCAGGAGCTGCTTTTAAGCTGGTGCTCTTACCCTTGGCTCCTGCCTGAGCAGTCTTGTTGGTGCCTGACCATGCACTATGCTAGACCCATGGGTAGGCTTCCTGGCTTGACCTGAGACATGCCTTGTCACAACAGGCTTGTCTGGCAGTCGCTGGCCTGTGGCTCACCCTGGTTACTGCCTCCTAGACCTGATCCTGATGCTGACTTGACTTCTTGGTTTGACCTTGGACCTGCCTCATCACCACAGTCTTGTCTGACAATCCGGACTATCAGCTCAAGCTATCACCACTGTATGAGCCTTGCTCACCTCGTTTGGGTGTTTCCTCTTGCTGAGGAAGCCCCTTCCTCTTCCTGCCTTGGTACCCTGCCTGGGTCCCAGCTGCCATTCCTTTGGGGAGCAATGAGCCTTCACTGCCCCCAACCACCTGCTCTGAGAAGGGACTTGGGGTAGAGACTTCTAGACATCCCTTCCCACCCAAACCTTTCTGTGAATTTATTACAGTGCTCTAGCAAAGTTAAAAGGAAATAAAATATCAGCTTCTCTGGGCAGGGAAGAAAACAGTGAAGGCATTGCATTGATGCCTAGGTGCATGTCAGTTAGATCTGTGGAAGGGAGAGTGGATCACAGGAACAGGGGCAAGGAAAGGGATCTAGGACAGAGGAAGGTGGAGGAAGATGTGGAAATGAACAGCAGTGCAGCTGCTGTAGCATCACTCCACTACCCCATAAATCCCAGAAGGAAAGGGTAACATCAGCCCCTAGCAGAAGATAGGCACATGGCTCTGTTTCCTCTCCAGATGCATTATGTGACCAATTATTCACATTCACATGGCAGTCCTGAATTTTCAAAGTAGAAATACCTACTGCCCTGCAAGACCTCTTGCACCCCTCTTGCTGCATCTCTCAGATACCATGATGTCCCTCATCTTTTCAGTAGAAAGCTGAAGGATCACAAGGGTCAAGCTCTCTTTGGCTTCTTCTTCAAAGGCTGGCATCTGAGGAGGACTCCATCCCCTCTGCCTTCGACCCCAATCTGCGTGTTCCTAAATCCAGTTCCAGAATCCAGCTCCGAACCCAGCTGCTGTCTGCTGCTGAGTCCAGTCTGGGACTTTTCCCCAGGGCCTGTTCCCCAGCATTGGGGGTGACAGTGACATATTGCCATCAGGGGGAGCTGCTTTTGATGCTGGGTTTTTATATACTTGCATGTATTGCATTTTATTAGTAGTATTATTATTGTCATTTTCATTAAAGCTGTTTTACTTTTCTAATTAATAAGACTCTCTTCCTTATTCCTTTTCTCTTCCCCTTTGGGAAGGGGGAGGGGTTAACAGAGAGCATCTGTTGCAGGTCTGGGGGCAGTCCTGACCCTTAACCATGACAACAGTCATCTGTAGTAAAAGACAAGGTCTTCAAGGGAGTCTAGAAAGATGGCTTTAAAACCCTGAGTCTCCTAAGCTGCATTGTAATACAAAACCATGATGCATTACAACGTGTTTATTCCTACAGCAGTCACGAAGTATGGACTTGAAATAAGATTAATCACTCATTTAGAAGTCTCAAACCCAGGATTTTACTCTGATCTGCATTTCTTGTCGCTTTCCCTTTCCTTTAACATCTTCAAAAAAATAAAAACAAAAGCAAACCACAAAAGGTAGTGGAGCCTTTCTGGAATAGCTTGAGTTCTGCCAGAAGCCACAGAAAGGCTTTTTTACAGTATTAAGTGGAAAGACAACCAAGCCTTGGTCACTAGCAGGAGTGAGTAACTGGAGTTTCTGGCACTGCCTGTGTATAGAGGGATCTCTTGCTTTTGGGGAGATTTATAGGACTTTTGCATACAGTGCAGACTGAAAAAAAAGCATGTACAAACAGTGCAAGCAAATACATTTCACTGCAGCCTCATTCTGTGCCATTATTTCCTTTTAACAGTGAAAATCACTCAGCCCTGAAATCAATCACCCTATGGCCAAGCAACAAGAAAGTGCAAAGCACTGACACCAATGTGAAGTTCAGAAAGGATGATATTGGTATCCTCTCTTTCTTCTGGGGCCGTTAGGAATATCTGGTGCATTTTTAAGTATGCTAGTGTTTGCCAAGCTGTTTTGCTTTAGGTAGATGTGTATGTGTTGCACGTGTGTATGTACAGCTGCACAAGCACATTTGACATACCTCCTAAATATTGTTTTGCTAAGGTCTGTGACTTACTCTACAGTTAAGAACCTATTTTCTGCAAGAGTACTAACCATTCAGCTATTCTTGACACCAACAAGCATTGCTAAATGCTTCAACTCTTTTGGAAAATTAAAACACTTATTTAGGTGCCCTAAGCTGGACTTAAGACTCAAATTGAAGCATCTAGCTAAAAATAAACCCAAAGTTTCTCTCAGTCTTCTAAATTCACTCTGTCAGCAGTGAGTACCCTAGCTGCCTTCTGATTATCCCCAGAACTGCTTCACGCTACAGTGCTGCCAGGAGGTGCCCAGGCAGGATGGACTTTCTGCAGGAATCTGTGCTGAACAGACCTAGACACACAGTAGGTTTCTTTGAAGTCCTTGTTCCATACCAATTTCCTGTACCAAAAAAGTCAGCTAGGACCATGCCACCAAGACATCTCTGTTTATTCAAAACAATCTTTCATCCTTCAGCTTTGTATCTCCATGTTCACCCACACACAGTCTGCTGTGCTCCCTCAAACAGTTTGCTAGGTTAGCCTGAGCCATTTCCCACAGTCTTACTGTAATTATTCGGCGTGTGACTCTGCAATGGTGTGATCTGTCTGTGGTTATATTTCTGAACCCTCAACAGGGCCATTCAAAAACACTGCAGTTGGAAGTGATGGCAAAGATTCATCGGGGTGGACAAAGTTTTTGGCTGGGAACCGTTTCAGTTTTGAGACAGCAAGGTCTCGGGTTGGCTTGTTCTCCACAACCTGATTCTTAAGTGTCCCGATATCCGAGTCCCAGCCTTGACCCCGCCGCAGTTTCTTGAAGGTGTTCCGGAAACCCTCAGTACTAAAGTAGTAGATCAAGGGGTCCAGTGTGCAGTTCATGCTGGCCAACAACATTGTCATAATTAACGCCTGGCGCACGGAGGCCTGTGTTTCTTGTTCAACCTTCATCACGTGGGCCTTTATCATCCCATAAAACGCCAGGGTAGTGTTGTAGGGCACAAAGCAGATGATGAAGATGACCAGATTGACCAAGAGGAGACGGACGGTCTTCTGCTGTCGCAGGGTCTTTCTCTGGCTGTCCTGGCGGAGCTCCTGAAAAATCCGAACTGAGCAGTATGTCACAGAGCTGAGAGGCAGGAGAAAACCCAAGATTTCAGCTAGGACGACTAGAGGGAAGAGGTTATTTTGCCAGATGTTGTCACTAAAACTTTCAAAGCACAGATAAACGGTCTGGTTCTGTACTTCACAGTGGTTTTGCTTGTGGACTATGGCTGTGGGGATGGAACCCATGAAGATCACAACCCAGACGATCAGGCAAAGGCTCCTGGCCACCTTGGGGCGCCGCAGGTGCCGCCAGCGAAGCGGATGGACGATGGCGACGTAGCGGTCCAGGTTGATGCACATGAGGAACAGGCAGCTACCATACATGTTGATCTGGAAGACTGAGCCAGAGACCTGGCACAGGGTGTTACCGAAGGGCCAGCGGTGGTTGGAGTAGTAGTAGAGTCGCAGCGGCAGGGGGAGCGTGAAGGTGAGGTCGCTCACAGCCAGGTTGAACATGTAGATCATCACCACCGACTTCAGGCGCAGGTAGCGGATGAATATCCACAGCGCCATCACGTTCAGCAGCAGACCTGCGACGAATATCAGGATGTAGCCAGGCAGGAGCAGGTGGTGGTTGAACTTGTAATCCTTGCATGTCTGAGACACATTGGAAGCTGACATGTCCAGAGGGTCTCGTTGAAATGGCTGAGCCTGCTAGTGAGCTGAGGAGGCACAAAGAAAAGCACTGAGAGAAGTCATTCCCCTCTAAGAAGCTACAGGCAGGTCATTCCCCTCATCTGCAGCTGGGGGGTAGATGGATGCATCTCTCTTGGCTGGTGCTGCTTTGGATTGCTGCTCTGTGGTCATCTGACAGGGATGGTAATGTAGTCACCTAACAGTGAGCTTCTGCCTCTAGTTCAGCAATTCTCTCCGGTGGTTATGGCGATGCTGGTGTGATGGAGGGTCATTACCAGCTGTCAGCACAATTCCTGGTCAGAGTGGAAGATCAACACAGTATAATTTTTAAGTTAGAGGAAGAAATCTCTTGAAATGTTAAAATTACACCATGGTGGCTCCTCCACCAAGAACTCACAATGAAACAAAAATATTAGGGAAAGCAGAGTACAGAAGTATAAAAATACATGGCAGAAGAAGCCAGAGCACAGAGAAGGTAATTGTTATACAGAATCATTTATCACTCAGCCCCAGAAATATGTGTTGCTTTGATCACTGCTGAGAGCACATGTGTACAAGAAAGAGCCAGCACAAGAACACACAGGGAAAATAGTCAAAGCAGCTCCAGAAAAAGAGAAAGAAAAAGAAGAGAGCAAGCATTTTGAGGGAAAGATGCTGACTGGAAGGAACTTAAAATAAAAACTGCACAGTATTGCTCGTATCAAAGAAACAGGACTTTGTACATCCATTGCAGATAAATCCAATTATACTACAGTTAGACTTGTCTCTACCCTAGCTCCTTTTCCTAGGTGAAACAACCCACACAAACCTGAGTCCCAGCTAGCTGGGATTTCTTATGTTGCTTATATTCATACAGTTTCTTTGGTGTTCTTGCTTGCATGGGACCAGCGGTGCTTATTTGGATTGCATGTCCTCAGAACATTTCCCTGCTTCCAGTACCATGAGGCAGCCCGTGTGCCACAAACGTGGGGCAGGACAGCCAGGAAAAGGAGCACACAGAAAAGGAAGGGCCATGGGATTTATGTGACCAGACAGGGAGTCCAAAGCAGGGTGAGGCTAGTAACCACTCTAGATACTGAGCAGAGCTGTCCTGCAAACACTGACCAACAAGAGTGAGTACAGGGGAAGGCCACCAACATGGTGGGCACCTAAGAGCACTTGCCCCATGAGGAAGTGGTGAGGGAGCTGGTGTTGTTCAGCTGGAGAAGCAGCACTTCAGGAGACATAATGGCCTCCCTGCACGGGGCTTCTGTGGTAAGGTTTTGGCACTGGCTGGGCTACAGGGATGGCTTCTGTGAGGAGATGCCAGAAGCTTCCTGTGGGTCTGACAAGGGCCAATGCCAGCCAGCTGCAAGACGAGTGGTGCGGGCCGAGCCAGTCAGTGACAGTGGGTAGCTCCTCTGTGATAACATGTTTAAGAAGAGGAAAAAACCTGCTGTGCAGCAGCAGCCTGAGGAGAGAAGAGCGAGAGAAATAGCCCCACAGATACAAAGGTCAGTGAAGAAGGAGGGGAAGGAGGAGCTGCTGGGTGGTGGAGCAGAGATTCCCCTGCAGCTCATGCTGAAGACTATGGTGAGGCAGGCTGTCCCCTGCAGCCCATGGAGGTTAGTGGTGGAGCTGCATAACATTGCACCCTGTGGAGGATCCCACACTGGAGCAGGTAGGTGCACCAGAAGGAGGCTTTGACCCTGTAGGAAACCTGTAGAGCAGGATCCTTCCAGGACTTGTGACCCCATGAGGGACCCACACTAGAGCAGTCTGCTCCTGAAGGACTGCAGCCCGTGGAAGGGACCCATGCTGGAGCAAATAATGAAGAACTGCAGCCCGTAGGAAGAACTCATGTTGGAGAAGTTCGTGGAGGACTGTCTCCCATTGAGAAGGAATGTGAGAAGAAAGGGGCAGCAGAGACAACACGTGATGAACTGACTGCAAGCCCCATCCCCCTGTGCCACTCATGGGAAGGACGCAGAGAATTCAGGAGGAAAGTTGAGCCTGGGAGGAAAGGAGGGGTGGAGGGAAAGGGTTTTAAGGTTTGTTTTTATTTCTCATTACCCTACTCTGATTTGATTGGTAATAAATCAAACTAATTTCCTCAAGTCGAGTTGGTGTTGCCTGTGATAATTACTGCTGAACGATCTGTCTGTCCTTATCTTGACCCTTATCTTAGCCTTTTGTTGTATTTTTCTCCCCTGCCCAGTCAAAGAGAGGGAGTGATAATGTGTCTTGGTGGGCATCTGGCATCCAGCTAGGCTCAACCCCCCCCACTCCTCATACCTGCAAGATGGCTACTGGAAGAGGAAAGAGCTATTCATGGGCAGGTATAGTAGGGGGTTAAGAGGCAAGGGGCATAAACTGAAGTAACAGATCTTCAGACTGGATATAGGGAAAACTGTTTGCACTGTGAGCCAGTCAGGTTTCCAAGAGAAGCTGTGGAGTATCCATCCTTGGAAGTTTTCAAGATTAGACTCTGTGAAGTCCAGAGTAACCTCATCTGATCTGATAGCTGACCCTGCTTTGACTAGGAGGCTGGGCTAGAGATTGCCTTAGTTATTCTACAATCCTAAAACTAGACATCTGCTCTCAAAACTGTCACAGTGGAGTTTGGGTTAAGAAGTATGACACTGCTCACCACAGCTGTTTGCAGTGGTTAGATAAGCTCTCCCTCACAGAGCCCACGTAGAATGCAATTTACTTAAAAGTAGAATTTTCTGTCTGGAGGAAAACTTTACATAAGATTGGTATTATTGTAAGAGGAAGCTGCTCAGCAACTTGACAGGCACACCAAGCATGTCAGACCTTCTGGATGGCATCGTGGGGCGATGCACAGATCTAGGAGGAGGATCTGTTAAGACTAAAGTATGTGCTGACCTCATAGGTAGGACAGGATTCCTTCTGGAAACACATTAAACAATGAAAATGGAAGTCTAATATGAAGAGCAGTCAGTTATCAATTTGCCCATCCTTTTGTGTTGTTGAGCATGTCCACTACCAAGACAGGTTTCTTACAGGAACTTCTACTGGATTGTCAAGCTATCTCTGAGTGGATTTCACCCTTCTTGTGGGATTCAAATTTTGTGGCAAGACATACATAGGTTTGAAGCATAAAATAATCCAGCAAGACAAAGCAAATGTTCAAGAATGTTGCTGGTTTCAAGTGAAGTGATTAAATGCCTCCAGAAAACTCAAGGAGAATATGCCAGCTTTTGCCAAAGCAAAAACCCTGCAGTGGCTGCAAACTGAACAGACTGGTGAGACCTTCACCTTGACCAAGACCAAGTGAGTGAAACTGAGACTCTGTGAGAGACTATGACCTGCTCTGACACGTGTGCCTGGACAGGCCAGCTGTCAGGTGAAGGTGCCTTGTCTCTACAAATAAGCTATTTTTATTAAGAGGTACTCAATAAAAACCTCTAGAGAACATAATATGTAAGCCCAGTCTGTACCACGTCAGATCAGTAGTCTGGCTACAACGAGTAGTCCATCTGATGGGTGTTGAAGGGACAATGTAAGAACAGTGTGATTATGTAGTTATTCTCCCTCCAGTTCTTTTCCTGCTTCCAGCCTATCACAGAGCAGGGATTTCCTGAGCCAGAGGTGATCCATTTGTATTCAGTAGTCCTTGGGGAATTTTTCTTTCATTATTTTTTCCAGCTGCTTTTTGAATCAATGGAAAATTTGACATCTACAACATCCAGTGCTAGGAGGGCCAAGGAGTTCCACAGCTTAGTCACATCTCAGGTGAAGAACCACTTCCCTGTATTAATTTTGAATTGCCACCCTGAAGATTTTACAGACATATATCATATTGTAGCTTTTTTCCCTCTGAGGCTTAAAGGTCCTTGTTTTGGTAGCTGTTACTCTCAGAGGAGCCATTCTGTACTTTTGAATGTCCTTGTTGCCCTTTATCAGCTCCTTTCCACTTCTGCTACAGCCTTTGTGAGCCCTGTGGTGGGGTGCTCAAGACACACAATGCTGATAACAGGGGTGCACTGTGCTGAGGAGGTGAAGACCTCACTCCCAAGGGGCAATGGGCAGTGCAGATTGGCTTTTTCTTATCACTTCACCAGATTAAGTTTCAGCTGTTGTTTTAAGGCCAATCACTCACGCTTCTCTTAATGTCTGCAGTTCTTTGCAGCCAACCCTCATCTTTTCTTACTTGGATAGTTTTATGTCTCCAACAGGTTTGTTATTTTATTATTCATCCCTCATGATTAAGTCAAACAGTCCAAACCCCAGCACTGGTGTCTTATAACCAACCATTTACCCTCGTTATCTGTCCTATCTTTTAGATACTTTTTATCCAAGTAGGAACATTTGCCTTCAGCTTAAGCACCATTGGTGCTAGCCAATTTGAAAGCCTTTTGGACGTCCACATGGGCTACTTCTCATGTACTTGTTTACTCCTTCAAAGGAGTGTGAGACACAGCATCTCTTTATAAAAGCCATGACGACTCTTCCCCAGTAATTGGATGTAACTGCATGCCAATTGATTTTTTCCTTTATTATAACTTCTACTAATTTGTTCAGCACAGACATCAAAATCCCTGGTCTGAAATCCCTCAAGAGGCTTTTCACAAATTGTGTCTGCTAGTGAGCCTTTAAAAGCAGTTTTAAACAAATGTTTCTACACCACAGTTAGTCAGGTCTTCCACCCTTCAGCTGTTTTCAGACCTCTGGGCTAGGACCCGTGTGGTTTCAGACACTGCTTAGTTCATGTTGCTGCTCCATAACTGTTCCTACCACAATTTTGACCTGAGACAGTCCTCTGATGAATTTTACTCCAGAGTTTCTGCTGTGGAAGTTTCCCAGCCTTTCCTGCCATTAACATCAGTGCAGGAAATACGTTTAGTTTTTTGACCACCACCATCTTTTCTTTTTTTTTCCTGAGTAATCCTCTCTTACCTACTAGCCCTTCAGCCTTTGAGCTCACCGAGAGTGGAAAAAAGATTGGGGTTTTAAGGGGATTTTTTTTGTGGGTGGATAGA